GGGGGGGGGGGACCACACGACGACACTCCCAGCAGTCGCTGCCCTCACCTCCCAAAAGGCCCAGGACTTCCCATGAGTCACCTCACCTGCAGCTGGCTTCCCACCCCCACCCCTGACTCATCCCTTTCCCAGAAGCTCCTCTCAGGCCTCCACTGGGGAGGGAGGGAGGGCAGTCTGGTAGGACCTCCCTAGGACATGAAGCCAGCAGGTCACTGCCCATGGCCAGGCCATTCCCACAGCAGCAGGAAGCAGGGCCTAAAGAGGCCATAGCTCCAGCCTGGGAGCCCTCGGGCTATGGTCACTACAGTCTTGGAGGAAGGATGCACAGGAGCCACTCAGACCACCTTTATTTTTTATACACACCCATGGCCAGGGCTACTAGGTGTCACCAGCTCCCACAGGGGCCGTGCGAGGAGAGTCCTCAAGACCAGCTTTGCCTGCTGCTGGGCACAGGCCTGGAAGGGAATCCCACCCTTCACCCTCAGCTGGGAACACAGGTGCAGCTCACCACCAACCAGACAACATGGGGACCCAGCCCACCTTCCCAATACCCCCATGCCCAGGCCAACCACCCTCCCACTGATGTGCCCGTGAGCTGGCAACCATGGTTGTCCCAGGTGGGTGGCAGGTATGTTTAGGGGGACTCCCACTTCCAACATTTCCCACCTCTCTGATGTTGGGCCAATGGTGTGGAGGAGTGAACACATGGCTTCCCAGTCAGATAAAGCCTTGCCATGAACCCAGGGCCCTGCTGCCCGTCAGGAATGTAAGCTAGGCCTCCTTGAAGGTGACACCAGCCCACTTCCATGACCAGAGGTGGTGGAAGACTGCCAGGGCCCCACCAGCCTCCTCCATGGGTGTGCTGTGCCTCTGGAAAACCCCACCTCTAACCAGGTTGCCCTGAAGCCCTACCCTAGGCCAGGCAGGCAAGCCTGCTGGGGTGACAGATCCAAAGGGCACCTACAGAGCTAAAAACCCGGGCCTTAAGTGGGGTCCAGGCCTGAGGTAGCTGCAGGCCCTGCTGCCCCCACTCCCCTGGCAGAAGCCTATGGGTGCCTACACTTTTCAGGACACAGAGAAAAGTTTGTCTTGGAGAAAGAAACAAAGCAAATAAAAAACCCAAAGGCAAAGCCAGCCCCCAGCCCCAGGATCTGTGACTCCAGCTGAAAGGTGTGTTCCTCTGGCTCAGGCACCAGCTGTGTGGGCCCCAGGTGCCAGCTGCACCTACGTGATGTCCCTCTGCCGCGGTGGCCGGTGCACATTCCGCACGACGCACTTCACCATCCATTCAATGCCCTCTCGCACCCCTTTGCTGTAGAGACAAGAGTTATGAGGTAGGGCCACCCATGACCCTGGGGCAAGGTGAGGGCCCCACTCACCCCGTAAGAGCTGAGCAGGCTTGGGTCAGGCAGTCCCGCCTGCCTATCTTGGAGGTGCAGTCGCTGAATGCAGTCTTGATGTCCGGGATGGAGAGGCAAGTCTGGGGGTAGGGGGGCAGGCTGTGAGGAGCAGGCCCGTCCCTCCTGAGGCCATTTCCTGGCACCAGAGGAATCGTCCTGTTCCCCAGGGCAGTCCCTAGAGCTGCAGGGTGGGACATGAGCTCGGAGGTGGGGGCTGAGGATGGGGTGGGAGGCCGAGGTGGCCCCTTTAGGCGGGAGTGACCTAAGATGCACCATCAGGATGCTGTAAACATGGGCCACCCCCCTGTGCAGAGCCCCTCCATGGCGGTGTGGCTGGCATTGCTGCCAACTCCAAGGGCAGCAGACAGGCTGGGGTCAGCACTGACATCTACCCTGGGGTCCCTTTGTCTTTTTTCTCCAAAGCTTTCTCCTGTATCACTTGGGTCTCTGATGGCTGCAGAGGGAGAGGGAGAGAAGGTGCTTTGCACGGCGAATAGAGGCCTGGGAGAGCTCTGTGCACCTGGGGCAGACAGCTCCGAGGAAGGTGAGGGCCCGCCCCTGGAATGGGGGTAGGCTCACCTCGACATCCTGCTTGTTGGCCAGCACCAGGATGGGGACACCGTCCAGAGCCTCACTCGTGACCACCTTCTCTGGAATGAGTGAGGTGGCAGTGAACACCCTTTGTCCCCTTGGACAGTCACGCCCAGTAGTCCCCACATCCCTGCCGACCTCTCCACAAGCAGGGACATTCCCTCATGGCCAAGGCTCTCTGACCTTCCATGGCCCAGCTCCGGACACATGGGATGGACCTTCACAGCCCCCCAGCCCTGGCTGGGCTGTACCCACCGAAAGCTTGCTTGGACTCCAACAGTCTCTCCTCATCCGTGGAATCAATGACGTAGATGACACCGTGGCACTCAGCATAGTACTGGGGAATGGCAAAAGGGGCTGAGCAGTGGGCATTCAGCCACCCTCCAACTGCAAGACCCTTATGGGGTGCTTTCTTAGGGTGGGGAGGTAGGGCAGAGTGAAGGTGCACCCCCCAGGTCCCTTCAGGAAGGGCTTGCTGACCTTGGATAGGGGTAGCTACCTCCCCTAACTGCTTCTTAAGAGCTGTGTCCCAAATCCTACTTCAGGGCTGGCCCCTGCGAACCACCCACGACCATGGGCCTGATGGTGGCCAGAAGGGAAAAATGAAGCTTGGAGGCTGGAGGAGTCCAGACCAAGCCGGTCCTCAAGCAGACCCAGAATGGAGTACACCAATGGGGCCTTGCACTGGCTCAGACAGTAAGCCGGGAAAGGCCACCACAGGGCTAGGCCAGTGTCACATGTGAAACAGCTCTGTCCCCTGCACAGAACACCAGGGCCAAGGACCAAGCCAGCGTTGCTGAGCTCGGAGCTCTGCAGCCTAGACTGGTGCCAGGAGGGCGGTCGACTGTGGGCTTGCTGACAGCAAGAGCCACGGAAGCCATCCCCCAACCCTTAACTGCCAGAGCCTGGGGTCTGTGGAGAGTTATGTGGGGGAAGCGGAACACAGCACCCCTGAGAACACATGCACAAAGGCTTTTGAGGGATGGACTCACTGGGCCTGGGAACCAGGGGGACAGCCACAGACCTGGCGAGTCCATCTTCTACACTAACCAGAAAAGAACCATGTCAATGTCCACTCCGGAGCAGACAACAGAATCTTGCCACTCTGCCCTAGCTCTCCTGCCTGTCCCCCGGGACAGCCAGGCTGTTCTGTGGACTGGGCAGGATGAGCCAGTGGTCAGCAAGCTGAAGGATGCTCTGGAATGTTCCTGGGTATAACCCCTACCCTATCTAAGACAAGCCTTTGTCTGCACTTGCCACAGAGGCAGCCCCGGGTTTTGCAGGCCTTGCATCCCGAGCACAGGCCTTCAGTTGGGTGACATGAGGGCTGCAGCTGCTCCAGGAGGCATACTGGCTATCTTGTTGCTGATACCAGGAGCTGGTGGGCCCTACAGTAGAGATTTCCATGCAGAAAGGGACATTATGGGGTTTGCAGCCCAGTGAGAGAATCAGCACATAGAGCCTGGGGTGGCAGACTTCACTCCCAACGTGTGCCTGGGCCCCGGTAGGGTGACAAGCTCAGTGATGGGAGCAGCACATCTGAGGTAGATCATGAGCAGGACCAGTGATCCAGCAGGCTGCCCCACCCCCACGACAACCACCACACCCCAGACCCCAATGGTCGTGTCACCTATAGCCATGTGGGGGGAATCCTACAAAACCACTGGAAATAGGGAAGAGCCCAAGCTTTGCTTTTTACCAGTCCCTCAGGTGTAGCCTAGAGGGACAGAGCCCAGTAGTCCTCCCATGGTCAAACACCAAGTGGTCCCACTATGTGGGAAGACATGGCCCCAGCCTGGGAACTGGGGAGGGATCATGAGCCCCACTTCCCATCACTTTCAGTGGTTCATGGGGGACTCTGCTACCTATCCCCACAGCTCTGGGCTGGGCAGGGTTGGACTATAGTCACTGCAGCACCCACTCACCAGAGGCACAGCGGGGGACCCACTGAGCTACAAACCCTGGTTGCTTCCTGGGCATCTTGGGAGAGAGCACCTTTCCTGTCCCTCTTCCAACTTCCCCTTAGCAGAGGCCCTAGATCTTGGAGGAGCCATTCCCCAAAGCAGAGGTGTGAATGCAAGAGGTACATGGTGAGCTGTGACCTACACAGAAACCAGGTACCCACTGAGGCCTTGCTGCCCAGTGGTGGGCAGGGTACCAAGTGGACAGCCCCTTGTTGGCTCCTGCAGGACCCAGGTTACAGTTACCCAGGGCACAGGGCAGCCCACCATGGTGACCCACCATGTGGTATGGAATCCTGGCCAGCTTACCCCACCCTGGGCAGCATGAGGAATTCTCCAGTGCTTCCCTAGTGGCCCCCACCCAAGCTGACCTCTCCCCACCCAGTCCTGCATCCCTCCCATTCCTTTCCCAGGTACTGACCCCCAACACGCACCCTGCACCCCAACCTCCACCTCAGTATTAACTCCTCAGACCCTGGACTACAACAGATCAGGTTCTGTGTTCACTCCTCTATGTGAGTCTGGGGTTCAGGTGAGGAGGCCCGGGCTTCTGACTGCCTCAGTGTGACTTAAACGGCCAAACCTTCTGGCCACAAGACAGAAGCTACCCTCTTGACTGGAAATCAAGGCAGGAGGAAACACTTGGAGGGCGGGGACAGGAAAAGATGACTGGGTACCTGCTGCTGGGATCAAACCAGAAATCAGGACATTGCTATTTAGTTCTAAACACACACGCCACCAGTGTCGGGGAAGACACATCTGTGCCCCCAATGTGAGACTATACCATACACCCCATGCCAGTCCACTGGGAGGAAGCGGTCTAAGGTAGGGAGTTGGGTCTGTCCTGCTCACTGCTGGGCCCCAGTGCTTCATGCTGACTATAGCTTG